TTTAATATATACACATACTGAAAGTGTGAAGGCATGGGAAAACACTTCACATTGTGAAACTTTGACATTTTCTACCATATAGTTCTGAAACTACATGCTTTCCTGAACTGAAATGTGGGTTTTTTTGGGGTTCTTTCTTGCATGCCTGCATGCATCTCTTCCACCTAGTATTTAAAATTCTGGTTACCCCAAAAAGTGAAAAGGGAGAAAATTGCATTGAAAGTTTTCATTCCAACTCCACTGAAACACGCTCTGCCGCCTTCTGCGTTTCATACCTAATCTACTAATGGAATAAAAACATTTTTATTCAGCCACAGTGACGTTCAGCAGGTTTTCCCAGACCGTCACACGTTCGTGAACTGTAGAGCTGACACAAGGACACTCCCTAACAGTCACTCATACACTGTGTGTTATCAGTCAAAAATCACGTGTTCATGGCAAAAAAAAAGCATTAGCCGAGCAGATCAGAAAATGTCATTTTCGCTCTGATACTGATCCAGTGTTTCAGGCTAATCTCAGCCTTAATACTGATACTTTTTATCTGATTGGATCAGTACTTTCCTGCCTTGCATTATTTTCCCCTGTTTTATACAGTTTTTTATGTGACACGTGACACTACAGATAACATCGTTAGATTGATCTCAATATAATACATTTTTGTGTGATTAAATTAGAAAAAAAATAACCACCTGAGTCAGTGATAATTTCTTTATACACTTGAAAATTTGTTCCATTCTCCCGCCTGCCTTAATGACTAATGTGGAGCCTAATTTAATAAATGACTCGATGACTTCATTGCACATGTCTGCATGTGATGACCTGAGACGGTAAAACACGCACACGCACACACACACACACACACACACACACTCATTCACAGACTCAGGTTGGACCTGTTCAAGCTGTTCAGCACTACTTTGTGACACGATCTTGCCTCCACTGTTCGTCCTTGTTTCCTGTTTCCACTCTTTGAAGACGTACTCCTCCAAGCTCAGGGTGCACCCGTCTGACTTCCTGTTTTCGAGTGACAGAAAGCTGGCTTTTGGTTGGACTGCATAACTACTATTACAAGGAGAGGAAATGCCTCACGCTAGATGTGTGTTTGAGATAAATTTATTGATTATTACGCAAATGTGAATAGATGTCTTGTGAAATTCAGAATTCAGTCTTAACACTGACTTTAAAGACAATCTGAAATCAAAACTGACTTTTTAAACGTTTTTTTTTTTTAAAAACTTGAACAGAATTACATTTTTTTTTTAGTTGTGCAGAATTAACACCAGTCATTATTTTTAATTTTATTTATTTTTCTGTAATCGTCCTTCAATATGTAATGACAATTAACCGATTTGGATTACATCACTGTGCACACATGGACAGAGAAAAAAAATACGAAAAAGACTTGTTTTATGTTCTCCCACTTCGATTTACATTTCGCATTATCTTTACAATGAAGAGATCCAGGCTTCTGAGACTGACTTTTGCTACTGACTTTATCAAGCTGGTGACAGTGGGACTGTTGACCGTGATGTGTGAGGGTGTATGTGTGTATAATATACCGAGTGTCGACCTTGTGCACTTTGTTCATCACTCAGCTGTCTCTGCACAAAGAAGGCAAGTGTACTGGTATTTAGCACAGCCATTTAACAGTAGCTTCATTGATTTGAGGGCAGTGTCAGTCAAGCCAGGGCCTACACACACTATCCCACCCAGAGTGTGGGAAATCAGAAGAGCACATACTCATAAATACCTAAATAGTCAAATGGCAGCGCACTCAGACGTTGGAATGAGTGATGTGGCAATGTTATCATCGCCTGGTACTTGAACACAGCTTCATGATGAAAAGTCATGTTATGGAGAGCCATAAGCGCAAACATTATTGACCACTGACTTACAATAAATAAGGCGTGAAATATGATAGGGTGTGCTGTTGTTGGCAAAATAATCAGTGACATAGGTTGATTGTTTTCCTATGAGAGCGTGGTCTGAAGTGGTTGTATTCCACTTAAACCACAGCAGATTGCTAAATATTACAATTTTTTTTATTTACTGAAGAACAAAGCATCATACTTTTATCTGTATGTTGCAGCATTTAATGTTGTGGAACATACTTGAAACAAATTTGTTTCTTTTATCACTTACTTTATAGCAGCTGTAAAGACATTCCCTCGCTTGTTTTTTTTTTTTTGAACTTAAGTTTTACTTAAACATGTCCTTACAGAAACCTTCACCATATCAACTGCTATTCATTTTATTTGTAAAAATCAACAACACGTTGTTAATCTGTTTATTAATACACTTATGTTACAAGTCTCTGTGAATGAGTTGTTACTATAGAAAAAATAATGTATTAGAACAAGCTCATTAATATTAATATAAGCATATAATTATTACATTGCTGCTATCAGATTTAAAAAAAAAACAACAATAATAACTTAACAATAATTTCTGACCAATCAGATTTAAGAAATTAGAGGATATTATAGAGGATATTATAATTACAGTGAATTATAAACAGTGGCCTTATAAAAGCACTGTCATTGATGACGTTGGAAGGTTGTGAGTTCAAATCCCAGCACTGCTAAGCTGCCATTGTTGGGCCCTTAACAGTGCAAGGCTCAGTTAAGGGCGTCTGCCAAATGCCGTAAAAAATGTAAATGTGACTGTTTTGTCTCTGTAGGCTGGTACAGAGGCTTCGTGCTCAAGAACCCAAATGCCAAGGTAATCCAGAGACAGACATTTGGCTTTTATACAGCCTGCCTTTGTCTGAAGTCTATTTTAAGATATAGATGTATCTGTCGAAACACTCTCAGTTTATAGCCTATCCTTACATACTCAAGATGGAAACATTGCGTTGTGTTCTGTGACCTCATTGTTAGCATTGCTCACTTGTCTCTCACCTTCTGTCTTTTGCAGGGGATTTTCCCATGCAGCTACATTCATTTGAAAAATGCTCAAATCAAGAACAAGGGGTGAGTCGTCCCATTTCAAGAAGGAAGTGCTTTTAATAAAATTGCCACAGTTCACACTATTATGCAAAGCAAAGCATTTAAATCGTGTCATAGGCCAAATGTGCAAGTCTGCGTGCCACTTCATTAGGTCTGATTCTACTTCCTGTTTTCTAGTTGTTAAATGGGGATCTAGGGAGAATGTGCTTGGTGTCATTCAAAGACGTCCGAAAGTTCCATC